ATAGATAGTTCTCTGTGGTTGTAGGGGACTGGACTAGGAGCAATGGCCTCAACCTGCAGTAAAGGAAATTTATGTTGTAGATTAGGAAGAACTTTTTGGGTGGTCAAGCACTGAAACAGACTACCTATGGAAGCTGTGGAATCTCCATCCATGCAAATTTTCAAAAGAAGTTTAGACCAACACTTGACTGGGATGGTTTAGTCAGGGATGATCCTGCCTTGACCAGACTAACTCACCTCATAAGATACTTACCATCCCTGCTTTCCAATGATCCTAAATCAGTTGGGTTTTGCCACCACTTTTCCTATGATCATAAGAGTCAATAATTACTAACATCTATGATCTAGCACAGTGGTGCTCAACCTTTTTGTCTAGCAGGCCAGATAGGCAGTGCCCAATCCCTCTGTGGGCTGGGTCTGGCTGGGGTACCCATCTGGTACCTGGGGCAAGCAGGGCATGGCCTCGTCCAGCTGTGCAGAGTGAGGAGGGGGCAGCCCAGCACTGATTCAACTGTGCAGGAGAAGAGGGCTTGGCCTGGGCCCAACCCAGCCCTGCAGAGGGGGAGAGGGCATGACCCAGCCCCAAATCAGACCCATGGGGGACGGGGGCATGCCCTAGTCCCAACCTGGCTGTGTGGGGGGAAAAATCATGGCCCAGTCTGATCTGACCAGGCAGAGGGACAATTGTGGCTCCGCTCTGACCTTCCCTGCAGGGCTTAGGCTTTTGGCAGCAGGGAGGGGTGGCAGCATAGGTGATATAGAAATCAAATAAATAAGTGAATAAAATATGGGATACAATAATAATATTTTACTTTTATAAGATTGAGTTGTTGGACAAAGTAGTTGAAAACTTGAATAAATATATTTTCTCTGAAGTTAATCTTGCAGACAGGTATTTAAAGATGAGGTTGACATAACTTTAATAAAAGAAAAGTTAAAGAACTTCCAGAATGTTCTTAAATAGGAGCCATGATGTGTTTTATTCGTGCAGAATTTTCAGCAGGGATTGTTGTTACAAGTGAGACCCTAGCAGTCCTAATAACAGTAAATGTTATTTTGGGCATCCGTTCACATAATACTTTTGTATGTAAGAATTGTGCCAAATTACCAGTGGGATGTGATTTGATATGTGTTACTTACCAGGCATTGACATCAGTGCTTCTATTTTTATTATTCAAAATTGCTATGCAAAGCTGGAAGAAAATCCATCTCTTGTAAAGGAAATAGATCGTGCATATTGTACAAATAGATGTGTTGTGTTATAGTTAGAGTTACAGGAACAGTAAAAAGTTTACCCTGATATCCTCCATCGCTGTATGGATCAGTTAGTTATCTTGGACAAACAGTTTGCTTCATCTTTGTCTAGAACAATCCAGTGTCTAGCATGACCCATGCCCATGGAAGGCTGACAGACAATCAGACTGAAAGTTACTGGGAGCTATGCCAGACAAGGCTTGGACAAGCATGGGAGAAAAGCACTTAGAAAGGTCAGAGCATTGGAGACTGATCAGGGTGCTCGAAAGAGAGGGAGAGCTGTCACAATAATATTACTGATGCTTTGAAGAGGGCATAAGATAATGTGAACCTTCATCGACAGTTCAATATGCAACTGCATCAGGGGACTCAGCTGCAACCCAATTGTCCTCTGACCTAGTTAACAACACCATACCAATTAATTAGTGGGGCCTTTACTATGTACATGGCTTGGAACCTACAAACTAAGGCTTTAGCCAAGATAGAGCATGCTATTAGTGTCCTTTCTGCCTGATGTAGTGGAAACAGGCTCAAAGGACAAATGCGGGGCGAGTCTTCCATCATGTTATAATTGTAATGCAGATTGGATCTATAACTCTTACCCTGAACAGGGACATAGAACAGATCTTCTCTCCAGTTTAGCATGGCAAGCTTTTAGTTGCATTGTTAAAAATGCAGAGAAAGAAACCCCAAAGAAAAATGGTCCATTCACTGAGACCCAAATTATCCATGCTAGCCAGGCAACAACTTGTGCTGAAAATCAAGTGTTTGTTAACTTTTTAAAAACGAAGCTTTAATTAAAAGGGTTTAAAGGCGTTTAGTGTAGCATTTTAGGAATCAGGCCAACGTGTAATCTTCATCAGGTGGTACTCCGTATTATAAAACTGACACATACAGTCTTGGCTGTTGATCAAGAACTTATGTGATTTCTAAAGTAGAGCAGTGAAGGGGACTAACTCAGGAAAAAGTAGAAGTCTCTCTAACCAATCTCTGACAAATTTAGGCGAAAATATTTCTGGCACAGTCTTTTGTCTCAGACTTTCAACTATGGTCACAAACACAAATTCTCTTTTATACCTAAGGTATGCAAAGGCTAGAGAGAAATGGGTGTAAGTTTCCCACGGAGAGGAATAGGTATAAATTCAGCACTGAGAACTGGTACATACAGTGCTGTGCTCTTTCATCATATGACTGACCCTGGCAGGAATTTGCATTGTTTCTATGTTACCTAGTGAATATATTTGTGAGGCATTGGTAGTATGATAGCATATCTCTGTCAGTGCAGAGCCAGGGAGGAAAAGGGTAGAAAGTAAATAAATAACTGGACATGAGTCCAAATGAAAACTGCAGATCTAAATGCCCCACACACTTTGTGGAAAGGAAGGCAATTTGGAATTCAAATATGAGTCTGGATTCACACTTCAAAGCATGCCTATCTACGTGGGCAAAATCAAACCACCTTATTTGTACGTTTGGAATTTGAAAAGTGGATATGGATTTTCTGGTTTATTCTCCTGTTAGATTAAGACCTATGTAGTTCTTATCATACATGGTTCTTGACATTGTCAAAGAACTGTGGAAAACTCTGAATGCCCTTTTGCCATATTTTATGGGTCCACAGTGAAGGCAAAAACCTCGAACAATTTTGAAACTTTTATAAACTCTTCTGCTTCGGTATGCAAATCAGCCTCTTCCTAATAGCAGTAAAAAAAAAGTCACTATAGGCACAACTGAAGGCTTTCTTGAAACTTCCTTTGTGACATCTGGTATCAGCCACTGTTGGAAACAAGAGAGTAGACTAGATGGAGCACCAATCTCTGCCAATATCATAATTCTTGTGTTTGTTTCTTTGACTGATGTCATCAGCACTTGTTGCACGGCAGCTAAAGAAGCACAAGCACTGGCACAGAAGAAATGAATACCAGTACTAATTCATCCTTGCCCATGTGTCATCATAATATACATCAAATAATTGCCCATGTGTCATCATAATATACATTTTATAATTCTGCTGAAGTTGCCAGTTTGGGACAGAGTTACAATTCCACAATATTCTGATATTACTGTCTCAGCAGGTATCATACATCACTCTTTAAAGGACTGCACAAGCATTAACTAATAAACAGTAGCAAAAGAGTAGATCATATACACACACTAGCATATTCTCAGTCTAATTTTCCTGTGGTGTGGTGCTTTCATATTTATACTGCCATCTTGTGGCCAACTGTCTGTGGCCTATTACATGATGCTCTTAGGGCATGCTTGTTTGAAGAGTCAAAGACAGCAGCAGCAAAGAGGATCTCTTTGTGCTTTTTTTAATCATCCTTGGGTGCATCTACATGTGCAATTAGTGCGCCTGAATTTTCTTTGCAGAAAATTGGCTCATTAAAGTGCTCTGGTGTGCACGAGTAGACATGCACCCCCATCAGGAACAAATGACACCTGATAGGAGCAGCCCAATCCATGGTGCTGGCAGGGGGCACATGGCTGGTCCTGATCCCCAAGTGGCTGGGAGAGCCATCCCTGTTGGGTGGGGATGCTACCTGCCAATCACGTGGAGGTTCCCAGTGAGGACAATTCTCCCAGCCACGTGGGGATTGAATCGGGCCCCTTTCTCCACATGACTGGGATGCAGCGGTCCTGGCTGCCTGGACAGCTCTACTGGCCATGTGTGGATCAGGTCAGGGGACCTAATCTCCACCCAAGTGGGATGCACAAGTCTGGGCTGCTGGGACAGCTCTACTGGCTATGTGGGATAAGAATGGGTCACAATCCCCACATGGTGGAGAGACAGTTGCCCCTGCAGCCAGCTCACCTCCCCCCTGCACTGCGGCTTAGGCAGGCAGCAGCAGCCCCCCTTCTGCCTGGGCTGACCAGAAGCAAATTGCTCCTGGTCAGCATCTACACATGTGCTACTGTGCATTACTTAATGCACAGTTAATCTAGTACCTGTATTTCCTGGTACTAGCAAATGGCACATTAGCTTATTTACTGTGCAGTAAATCCCACGCACGTGCAGACAGTGATGCTTTACTGCACATTAGATTAGTCTAATGTGCAATAAAGCATCCTGTGCAGATGCACCCTGTTTGGATATATAGACACCACTAAAACTAGTGTGTCTGTACCGAATAAGAATACGTTCCATCAGCATGACAGTGATATTGTATGATCTTTTATACATGGATTTATGAAATAGGATAGCATATTTAATACACTCAACATACATACTTAACATACAGGTCAGATACATTTATTCCTGACTAGGCTTTTTTATCACCTACATTCAAAAAAAAATTACTATCCAAAATAGATTCCTGTTTGTATTTTAATTGTTGGTGGTTCTTGCTGAATAAACATGTTGAATTAATTCAAGCCCCTTTTCGGCTTGAACTTACCTCTTCCATTGGGGAGCAGACCATTTCAGCATTGTTTAGCATCTGGATAGTTTAGGACAAATTTTGCTCCTGGGGAAGATAAAAGTCCACAGACTTTAGCTGAAATTGTCCTCAGCTCTACTCAAAATCAGGTGAGTTATTCAGCTATGATCCTGTACCTGTCAGCCATGCTGAATCCACTAAAGACAGTGAAGCTCTCTAAGTTTATTAATTGGGTGCCAAGGTCCACTTGCATTAGTCACACGCCCTCCATCTTCATAGCGACTCCTACAGATGCCCTGTATTATGCAATTCCATGCATGTGACAAGCAGCACTGACTTTCCCTTAGGATCTGTCTGTTTGTGGGAGATAATTGAGAGGTGGCAGGAAGCTTGTGGGAAGCAAACCAAGAGCAGCGGGAGACCCTGGAGTAGCCTGTGAGGATTAAATCTCTGATAAAGCTTAGGGGGTGTTGGTGTGACAGGGTGTAGAAGGGAGAGCTCAAGGTGAGGATTGCTGGTGGAAGTGTGAGCCCGGGGCCTGTGATCTTGGGAGGAGCCTCCTTTATGCTGTCCCATTTTGATCTGCTTCATTTTCTTTCTCAAACCTCACCACACCCCTCCTTTCATGCTTCCACCACTAGCTGTGGCCTGAAGTTTCCTGCTCTTGTCTAGAGCCAGTAGAGGGAGCACAGAGAATATGGATGCAGAAAATATGGACACAGAAACCCTGTGCCTTCAAAGAAGCCAGACTCCACAGAGGCCAAGAGGAGCCCTCAGCTTTGGTGGGTTACTGGATAGCAGCCAGGCTGGAAGCAGGGATGCCAAACATATGTCAGGTGAGGTGTGTAGCACTTGGTAGTTATTTTTCTTTGTCGTTTCATAGACATTAGGGCTGGAAGGGACCTAGGAAGATCATCAGGTCCAGCCCCCTGCCCCAAGGGCAGGAAGCCAGTTATGGCCAAAGGATCCCAGCAAGATAAGCATCCAAACGCTTCTTAAAGGAGTCCAGAGCAGGTGCTTGCACCACCTCTGGAGGGAGTCTATTTTAGGCCTTCAAGTAATGAACTGCTTGGATGTGGGAGACGCAGCTGATGTCTTATACTTGGATTAAAAAGACCTTCAATATGGTCTCCCATGACGCTCTTATAAAAAAACTGGGGGATTGTGGGCTGGCAGAGTCTGTGGTGTGGTGGGTTGGGAACTGGCTAAGGGATTGAACCCAGAGTGTTAGTGGACAGGTCTGTATCGTCTTGGCAGGAGGTGGCCAGTGGTGTCCCGCAGGGTTTGGCTCTTGGCCCCGTGCTGTTCAACATCTTTATCAGTGATTTAGATGAGGATGTGGAAACCACACTGGCCAAGTTTGCATATGATTTCATAGATTTCATAGACATTAGGGCTGGAAGGAGCCTTGGGAGATCATCGAGTCCAGTCCCCTGCCCCAGGGGCAGGAAGTCAGCTGGGGTCAAAGGATCCCAGCAAGATAAAGGTTCAAATGTCTCTTAAAGGAATCCAGAGTAGGTGATTGCACCACCTCTGGGGGGAGTCTGTTCCAGGTCTTGGGGGCTCAGACAGTAAAGAAGCTTTCCCTTATGTCCAGCCTAAATGGTCTTGGAGGAGTTTGTGACCATTGGGCCTTGTCATCCCTTGGGGCGCTTTGGTGAACAGATGTTCCCCCAGATCCTGATGCACACCCCGATGTACTTATAGGCTGCCACCAAGTCACCTCTGAGCCTGCGCTTTTCCAGGCTGAAGAGTCCCATATCTCTCAGCCTCTTATCATAAGGCCTATTCTCCTCCCCTCTGATCATGTGCGTGGCTCTCCTCTGGACTCTCTCAAGCTCTAAGTGGCACTAGTGGTTTGCAATGAAATATTTTTCCTGCAAAGTATCTCCCTTCTGAGAAAAATTCTTTTTTTCTTTTTCTTTTTTTAACAGAAAGTGTGTGGCTGACAAGGGGAGTTGTAATACCCCATGTCCCTTCCTAGCACTTGCAGAAAGTGAGGGTGGTCTTTACTGTGATTGAGAATGCCAGTCAGTCCCAAACTATACCACACTGAGACTTTGAGACAGAAACTCCTGACTTCCTTCCTCAGAGCCTCAAGAGATGGAAAACTCTGCACAACTCTTATCTGGCCATCTTGTTTTAAAAATGTATTAAGTGAATTTATGCAAAACCTGCTAACACATCTTCACCACTCCCACAATAACCACAACCCTCAACAGAACCATCACCATTCCTGGATCCTACACCTGGTTATATATCTCACCCAGTGCACCAAATGCCCTGATGAAAAATATGTAGGAGAAACCAAACAGCTGCGCACCAGAAAGAACGTGTACCAAAAATCCATCAAAGACAAGAATACCCAACTACCTGTGAGGGCACACTTCTCACAAGACAATCACTGCCTCTCCAATCTCTCAGTGCTAATCCTCAAAGGGAATTTACAAAACACCTTTTGTAGATGAGCCTACAAACTTGGCTTCATAATCTACTGGATACAAAAAATCATAGATTCAATATAGACACAGGATTTATGACACATTACAACGTGCCTGACATTTGATTCACCAGGTACCTACCTGACCTTACCTACACTTTTCTTTCCCCCTTCTTCCTGCCCTCCTTCTCTACCCTTTGTCTTCCTAATTTCCAGCTATTTACTATTTCACAGACTGCCTGTTTTCTACCTTGGAGAACTCAACTACAGTAAAGTCTTCCTTACTTACCTTTGGCATTATTTTCCCCTCATTTTTCCCCTCCCTTCCCTTCTCTACCCTTTGTTTTCCTAATTTCCACCTATTTACACTCACACTGACTTCCTGTCATACTTTTATTCCTTGGAGATCTCAGACCAACAGAGACTCCCTATGCCTGAAGATGGGTGATTGCACCCAAAAGCTTGCAAATAACCTTTTTTCCAGCTACTCAGTTGGTCTAATAAAAGATATCACATCTGCCCAAAGAAGCTTGCCTATTATACTATCGTATTCATAAGGGGCTATCAGCAGGTCCCTTGTGATGAGAACAACTCTCATTTTTCTTTCCTAATCAAACAACCATGATATGTCCTAATCCTTGCATTAGGGTACTAACTGAAGCAAATGGAGCCTCTCAACAGCAGAAGCCAGTACTCCTACACCTGATCTGTAATGTAGTCACATCAAAACATTTAAAATTCTATTTCTCAAACCACTGGAAGTCATATTTTTCTTCACCACTTTTTTCCCCACTTCACCACATTTTTCTTCACAGTTTCACCACTTTAGGGTCAGGATCAGAAATACTAAATTAGACACAAATTGTCTTATTTAGGTATGGATATTTCAGTCTTAAAGAAACTCCTCACCAAAGGACACCCATCCAAATCTTTGTATGAGCTTACTGTGTATTTTGAAACTAACAGAAGAGATGCAAAACATAAAGCAGCCAAAGCCTCAATACATGTCCTTCCTCCCACACATCATTTAATTGCCAATCCTGTTCCCAATACAGCTTCAAACCCTCACAAGACTGGAACCCCCCCCCCAACTTGAAATTCCTCAGCCCTCTGCCAATACTTGCCCAAACAGATGGACTTGCAGCCTTACCAGAAGGTCAACAAATTCCTGAGGCTTTAAACTGTGACAGGAAAAATGTTTCAAAGGAAAAATGTTCCTGAAAAGAATGTCCTTCTAGTAGTCTCCATCTCTATAAAGGTAGATTGTATGGCTGAACACCTCTTTGCCCTAGCATACCAGTGACATCCATTATTACTGGTGTCCCTGCACTGCATTTCCTGCTCATCTGTCTTGAGAGGCATTTTAGATTTTAGTGTTAATTTTAACTTATCCAACACCTGAGGCATGATTGTGTGGCTGAACACCTCTTTGCCCTACCATACCAGTTGCGATAAAGGTAGATTAAGCTTAACAGACCCTGTTGGATAAATTAAAATTAACACTAAAATCTAAAATGCTTCTCAAGACAGATGAGCAGGAAATGCAGTGCAGGGACACCAGTAATAATGGGCGTCACTGAAAAGATCCACTGAACAAGTACACTTCTGCATACTTTACAAAACCACAATTCCGGCTATATAGAATAAAACGGTGGCTCTACTTAAAACATGTTGCTCTTAAATGTGAACTTATCACATTTATGTTAATAACCAGATTTGTGTATGGCCTTTCTCAGCTAGGTTCATAATGCTCCAGAGACAGGAGATCTAAGCTAAACACTCATATAATTCATTCTTCATAAGGTTACCATAACCTAGATATTAAACAAGGAGTAAAAATAAATTTGGCAGCTTCTTCTCATGTTGACATTTCACTGATGTCATCAAAAGGAATTACTTTTTTAAGTTAGAAAAAGCAAAGCAGAAATATTCTCACGTCCCAACCCTGATCTCATTGAAGGTAGTGGCAATTTAGTTGGATATTTGGATGAGGGTCTAAATAAGGAAATATGGAGTTTTACTCATGTGATACAAACGTATGTAGATAAACTTTCCTGTGTTTGTGTGTGTGTGTATGTACATGTGTGCATGTCTGTATGTATGTTGTATATGTGTGATGTGCATGTGTGTGTGTGTATAATAAAGTTTATCTATATATGTTTATAACACATAATTAAAACTTCATATTTCCTTAATTAGTCCCTGTTAAACAGTTTGGAAAATGATGTCAGATATGGGATCCGTCCAAAACATAGATCATTAAATCTTTGCTGAGAAGGGCAACAGAGCACTTTTTTCAACTACAAGAAGCACATGAATTACAAAGTGCAGGCTAGCTAGGCTTTTCTTGACAGAGGTGCACACACACATACATTTCAAAACTAAATCATGTGCTTCTTGTAGTTGAAAAAAGTGCTCCATTTCCCTTCTGGGTACCATTTTCCAAACTGCTCAACAGTGTGTTATGAAATATTATTTAGAAAATAAATATTGCCAAAATAAATAAAGTTCACTTACTATATACTCTCCCTATTTTGCAGCACAAAAAATAGCAATCAGTCCAAAAATATCTCTGAGTTCATTGTAATTATTAATTCTGAGCAAGTTGCCTTTCTATCTGTTCACACATCTAATTACTTCATAGTTAATCAAGCCACTCATTCACCAGGGTGTAAATCAAAGAAATCATATAAATCATCTACTTTTTAGTGAGCAACATGATGTGAGAAATATCTCCATGAGGTAACATTCACCTGTTTGCTCTGCCAGTTGTGGGTAATCACAGATCACCATGAGCAATGACATATACTCAACTAGTGGAAGTATTTCAAATGTCACACAGTGATTAGCATGTTCCTCTGTCTGTCTATGGGTCTGTCTCTTTCTTTCTCTCTCATTTCCACACACAAATTGTATAAGCATATGTAAACTGAAGTATACAAACTCTGCAAAATTCTTCTCATATCTCCCAAGGGATATTAATTTTTTTAACAAATTAGTATCTGCATTATAATTGTTGTAATTCATGTGGTGGGTTTTATTTCTGTTTTAAAACACTGCTTGGTACATTGCCATCAGGATTTTGCAGCTTCTATGCCATAACTGTATATAGCTATAAAGAATGTGGGGCAAATAATATGACCAATTATGATTGTTCTTGCAACGTATGTGGAGATTGGAATGCAATGAATAGCGCAGAGGCATGCTATAAATTGTCTAATCCTATAAGTGTCGGGGGCGAGGGGGTACGTGTATGTGTCTCCTGAGTTTCTGACCTGTACTGTGTCTACTTCAGCTTCATGCCATCTGTATGGACTTTGAGCCTGCTTAATTTTACGTAGTGTGAGCTGTCCCATTGACTGTTTTGTCTTTGTAGGACTGGGGCCTAGTCTGTCTTCCAAGGAATTATTCCAGTATTTCAGAATACAGGCAGCAGTTTGAACAGCTGCCACTGAAGACAAACACACAAAACAAAGCAAACATAAAAATATAACTGGTTCTTTTGTTTTGCCTCCTAAGGCCCCAAACCTCAAGGTCTTCTAAGGCCCCCCAATGACTTAAAGATCTATTTCTCTTTCAAGAATGTGCAAAAAAGTAAGCACCTGTTTGTGTTCTCACAGAATCAGGCCAAAATGTAGAGATAACCTTCATTTTGACATTGTGTTTGCCTAAGGTCCACATTGGGTAATATTAAGTCCCACTCCTATAACAAGTTTCAGGTCTGGAGGGGCCAAAAAATGGCTTTTTACCATTAGATGAGGAAGAAGTTAGCTTTCTCATGGGATACATAGCACTTAGGTCTAATCTGAAAATATCATGGAATATTAGGTTTCAAAGTGCCGGGAGTTTTATGTATAAAAAAAATTGTAGTCACTTTTAAAGGGGTTAGTTATTAGTTTTCTCTCCTTCTGTGGTCTGTATAGTTCAGCTTGGCACAAAGGTCAGGAAGAATATTTTTCCTAGGTTAGACTGGCTAGGTCTGTGGAGGTTTTTTGCCTTCCATAACGTAGGGCAGGGCAATCCAATCCACATGCAGCCCACAAGGGGCTGATATATGGCCCCTAGGCTCCTCCTCCCTCCATCAGCTTCTGCTACATGCCTCCCCCAAACCTCCAAGGGGCTGAGTGCCACGGCCCTCTGGTGTGGGGGGAGCCAGCAGCCCAGAGTACCTGTGTGGTGAGGTGCCACAAGGCAGCCCACAGGGACTGAAATTTAGGTGGGTGCCATGGCAGACAGGAGAGTGCCTGCCCACTTGCATGGTACCGCAGAGTGGGGGAGCACCCACCAGCATATGCAATGCATTTGGGGAAACAACCCACCTGCTCATTGCACAGGGACATTCGTTCTGTCCCTGCAGTATGCTGGTGTGGCCCACAAGCATGTGGCCCCCAGCTTCTTTGAAGTTGGAAAGCCCTGGTGTAGGACATAATCCTCTTCACTGGATCCTCTGAGCCTACATCCGAAAAAACTACTTCACAGTTAGGGCGGCTAGGAGCTGGAACCAACTTCCAAGGGAGGTGGTGCTGGCCCCTACCCTGGGGATCTTTAAGAAGAGGCTGGATACTTACCTGGCTGGACTCATTTGAGTCCCGTTTTTGTTTTTAGGGTGAGTGGGGTTTTTTTTGGGTTGTTCTCCCGCCCTGGCGGGGGGTCGGGCTAGAAGATCTATTAGGTCCCTTCTGACCCTGAAACTATGAAACTATGAAACTACATTAAACAGTTATGTAACAGAGAGCGGCTCTCTGTTATGTTAAGAGGAGAAGCAGCCTAGCAAGGGAGTGCTGTAGGCTAGGTAGGGGGCCGCAGCAGCCAGTTGCTGGGGCAACTGGGGTAATGAAATAATGTTACCTCTCTGCTCCATGTCCTTGGGGACCCCTGGCACAGGACACAGCCTGTCTGACTCACAAAAAACTCTTCCCCCTCC